TTTCCTGTACTGATAACCCTGAACTGTGAAATGATGGTGGTTCTCATTTTTTCACCCCCCCTTGTCCTTTTAAAGTAGCGTTTATCTGTGATGATAAGGTTCCCCAAGGTATGAATGATAAGAAACATATAGCATATATCAATGATAAGTGTTCAATAAATGATAGTGTGCCTGTCGATAGTAGAATCAAAGTTATCACTAATTAGATCAGATCTTCATTTAACAGAAGCATAACCAAAGGATTTTAGAATTTTAGGATTCTCCTGACTTTCCAAGAATGAACACAGACTTCCATCTACAACCATAGCCAATATGAGTTGAATGAGAATAGAAGTGATAAGTACAACAGTGGTGATGACAGACTTTAGGGTCTAACATTGATCCTAGCTAGGGTAGGTTCAGAAGTTTTTGTACCAAAGCCTCAAGTACTCAGTCCTTCAGCTGCTAATGGTGATCAAAGTAGAAAAGCTGTTACTACTGGCATCACACTAATCCCATCAATTTTGTGTCTTCTTAAAAACAACCCAACATTGAGTCCAGTTAGTTTGCATATACTTATGGATATGTAGCCATCTGCTGGTGTGTAGTCGAGCTGCCAGGGGTCATACTCTTAAAGAAAACTGACTCTCCTTCCCAGCCCTCATCAGAGAAGCTTTGTTTGCAGTAGATGGATGGGAATCAACACAGAGACTTACAACTGATCAAGATACAGAGAATAAAAGACCCCAGAATGCTCAGCCCTAAATGGGATATCGATATGACACTTCCTTCCTTCAATGCTAAAGGATCATTGTGGAAGAAGGGGCAGAAAGCCTGTAAGAACAAGAAATGGCAGATGCAGACAAGGAAACAGTATCTTCAGTATCTGCTTGCAGAGGGACATAGACAGATATTTATACATATGAACTTACAGCAGCTGTGCCATGCGTGAGATATGAACAAGCCAGAACATGGAGAGCAGAGGTGGTCATGAAGTTCCACCCCTAGCTGAGGAGCTACTGCCAGTTCATCTCTCTTTGTATTTGGTCTATGTGTAAGTGTTGCTGCTTTTCTTTGGGTCCAGTATTTTTGTCCATAAGTCAGATTGGTCTAGGTGAGTTCCTTCAATCCTTACCATTCAGTTTTCATTATTGGCTGTTTCCAGGGTACTACTGTAATAACATCTCTGACATCCGTGCTGCATGATGACAAAGAATTTCCCAACCCAGACAAGTTTGACCCTGGTCACTTTCTGGATGAGAGTGGCAACTTTAAGAAGAGTGACTACTTTGTGCCTTTCTCAGCAGGTAACAGAAATTCATTTCCATTTTTTTTATTTCCATTTTTATTTGGAGGACATAATTGGATTTTAGGACCAGGTACAATTTCTATGGTGATTTTGCCAGGACTGGTAGATTTGCTCTTCTTATGTCATAAGGACTACCACTTTAATAACTATAATTCCTCTTTATTGGACTGTATTAGTGAACATTTCAAAGTCTAGCACAGTTTTTTCAAGTTAAGAAAGCAGACTATAATTATTGATTGAATTTAGTCTCTGGATATAACCCCAGCTGCCCAGCAGCTCTTTTTGGAAGCTAATGCCATTTACACTTCCCTCTGCCATGAGAGAGGTATCTATGCTCACATTCTGAGTATCTCCTCTGTGGCATCCTTCTCTTCCCAGACATTCCCTGGGAATGAAAGTGCCCGAGAGACTATACCAGGTTCTGCAGAGACTCACTTCTGAGTTAGGGCAGCAGGTGAATCTGCAGGGCACTGCTATCCAGTAGGATTAGTTCTGTGAGAGAGGTATTCAGATGGGAAGTTGCTCACATCTTGTTCTTTCATATCTGAACAGGATTACTCTAAAAGGTCAGAGGAAAGTTGGTTGGCTCATAGGGATTAATAAGGAAGAAAGAAGTAAGAAGGAAGTAAGGAGTAAGAAGGAGGTAAGAAAAGAAGAGGAGGCAGGGGGAACTGTACCAAGAAAACAAAGTACAAGAGGGGACTTTTTTTTTTTTTTGTATATGCATGAGGTCAGAACCTCTTGAGTAAATGTAGGCATAGAGAGAGAAAGAGAGACAGAGATAGATAGATAGATAGATAGATAGATAGACAGATAGATAGATAGATCCTGTGCTTATAAAGGGACACTGTACAGTGATTTCAGAGCCCTAGAGTTTCCTTTACTTATGTTCCCCCACCTTGAATGTTCGATCTCATTTCTCCATTATGTGTGCTGAGTCTTTGGGCATGGAGTGACTTTTACCTTCTGCTGTAAGGTTTGATTCTTATGTTGGTCTTGGGACGGCACAAATCAAGATGTGTATACAGAGCACAGAGTAGGGATCGTGAACACACACACACACACACACACACACACACTTTTTGCTTTCTGTTTCCAACTTAGAGTTCAGCAGAAATTAATGTGCTTACCTTGTTGACTCAAATTCCACATCTAAGGAGATGGTTCAGCTGATAGAGACCTTGCATAGACATGAAGATTCAAATTTGATACCCAGATCCCTCTAAAGAAAGCAAGGCTTGGTGATGCATGCTCAAAAAAAAGTAAAGAAAACCATCCCTAGAATATGGTATGCAAAGGAGTTCAGTTGTTCACAGAATAGCAACAGAGTAAGCTAATGACTTCAGGGTCATTGCCATCAAATCTATGCTGAGTGAAAAATAATATGCTAATAGGTACATGCTAAATATAAAAATGCATAGGGATATATATATATATATATATAAACAATATTAAAATATTTTTCTATTAGAACTAAGGTCAGTGTCAGTAGTAATATCAGAAAAATTGTAGGATAGTTATAAAGTGAATTAATATTATTTTTTTGCTACTGTAAGGGAGTAGCTGATAGAAGCAATTGTGGTGTCAGCTTTGCTACCTTGAAACAACTTAGAGTCATTTGGAAAGAGATTCTCCATGACAGACGGTATCCATGGGGGTTGGCTGTGGACACATCTTTGGGGATTGTTTTAAGTTGATGCAATCCTCCGTGGCTGGTACCATGATGAGGGAGGGGTCTCTGAACCGTACAAGACTGGAGAAATCAAGCTGAACACAAGTAAGCAAGCAAGTAAGCGTGTATGCACTTTCTTCTCTCTGCTCTTGATTGTGAATGTGCTTTGACTAGCTGTTTGAAGTTCCTGCCTTGACTTAACCGCTAGGATGGTCTGTAAGCTGGAACTGTCCACCGAAATAAACCTCCTCTCTCCTAAGATGCTTTTAGTCAGGGTATATTATCATAGCAACAGAACTGAAAATAGAACAGCTATTTGTGAAGAAAAGAATTCTGTTAGCTCACAGTTACAGAGGTTCAATGTCCAAAACACACAGTGCAGGCTCGGTGGCAAGACTGCTGTAAGAAAAGCAAGGTTGTTCTAATGAGAAATGACTGTTGTTTACAGCTCTCAGAGTTTAGGGTGATGTGAGTCAGGCAGCACATAACTGCTTCTCTTTGCCTTGTCTAAAGAATTCACCAAGCCCTGTATTCATGCATGCAATAAGTGTTATATACTAAACTTCTGACACCCATTTTAACACACAGATGCTGTAATTATTAACTAAATTCCTGTTTATTTGAAGGTCGCAGCCTGAGTCATGACATGCTGAATCACAGTGCATAGTTGAACTATGGTGTGCTGGTGAACCCAGATGAACTGAAGCCTGGAGAAAAGGGTGCAAGATGCAGGGGTCATGGTTTCCTTCCTTAGTTCTACCACCCTCAGTCGCATGAAGACCCAGTTTCCTCTGCTCTGAAAAAGAAAGAATTGTACCGTAGGCAAGGGTAGTTGAGAGAATCCAAGGGGATATATTGTTGGTGTGAAGTCTCTGGAAACTAAACTGTCAAAATCCCTCCAGAGATGATGAGGAGAACATTGTTTAACTCTCCCCCTTCATCTCTGCAGAGATGACACTTGTTTTGGTCTTTGTTTTCATTTTTTCCCCTAGAGTATGAGAGTATGTTTAGTGTGAAGCCTTTTGTCTTAGGGATCAAATCAGATGTACATTTGGAGTAATGAAACATTGGGTATTGGTTTTATTTCACCCTCTGGGTAGCTTCAGTGCAAACCCTAGGTCACCACGATGGCCAACAGATCTTATCTCTAGCTCGTTTCTTCCCTGTACAAGGTACAAGATACAACAGGTATGCTGTGCTCTCAGACTTTCTTTACCCATTTAAAAAATTAAAAATAAACTCCTGTTCTAAGTGTCTTTTAAAGGGCATATAATGGTAAAATATACATACATGTGTGATACATGTTGGCTCCATAAAAATGTGCACATTTCCCAGGTCGTGGCCCACGCAGGAGGCAAAGGCAGGAAGATCTTGAGTTTGTGGACAAACTGAGATACATGGGAGAAAAAAAAAAAAACAAATCAAAGATGTTTGAATTATGGCTGCCTCTTTCTCTTTAGGCATCTCTCATGTTGGTACAAAATGTTGAAATCTTTCAGTCTTAAGGAGAGTGTCCTAGTGTTTGAGAAGCACCACTAGCTAAATAGGATTTTTTAGATTAGGGAGGAAGTACATGGCAAAGTACCTGCTGTGCAAGCATGAGGACCTGCGCTCAGTTCCCCAAACACTGATATTAAAGCTGGGCTCTGTAGTGCATGTCTGTAACTGCAGGGCTGGGTGGGGTGTGGGCAGAGACAAGAGGATCCCGGAAGCTCACTGGCCAAACTGATGATCTGCAGTTTTAGTGAGGGACCCTGTCTCCAAAAAACAAAAAAAAACAAACAAACAAAAAAAAAAAAAAAAAAGAAAAAAAAATGGAGGAAGACACCAAAAGTTGAGCTCTGGCCTCCACATGCATCTGCACACCTAGATGCATACATGAATACACATGTTTATTCCAATGCAGCTCAGTTCAGGCCTTAAGATGCAATCGGAACTCCTGGGGCATTGAGACATGCCCCTCCCCAAACAAAAAACACAACAATAAAAACCCACCCCACAATAATACCTGGGTCAAGTCCAGCTCCATACTAACTACAACAGCTCTCCAGGGTTGGGTAGTGGAAGGAGAGCAATTGTAGAAAGTAGCTTTCTTTCGTGTTTTCCAGCAGGCCAGAGTCCACTCAGAAGACAGATAAAAGTACTCTTTGATGATTGGTTACTTCGTGCCAGACGCCCATGTGGAAATGTGTCAGCTAGCTTTATAAAAGCCCTGGACTGCCAGCTCACACCGAAGAAGAGAAGGCTACCATGGATCTTGTCTTGGTCCTGGTGCTCAGTCTGTCCTGTCTACTTCTTTTTTCACTATGGAGAGGGAGAGGGAGAGGGAAACTCCCTCCTGGCCCCACTCCTCTCCCACTTGTTGGAAATATCTTTCAGATAGATGTGAAGGACATCAGCAAATCCTTAACAAATGTAAGTATCCTTCTTGCTCCATAGTGGCTGGGAAGCAATAATTAATCTCTGGAGGCAGATAGTTAAGCTATGTTATAAGGCAAAAGTGCCCTGTAGACTATCATATTTGGTTTGTCACTGTCAGAAATGATTAAACTAGATAATGTATTTGTCCAGGATAGAAAGTGTTACTTTGTAAGATAAAATCCATATGGCAGAGAACAGCTACTTTTTCATTGTTTCATGGTCCTTAGCTAAGACTTTTTGCACAAGATAAAAGGTAATGGAATTGCTTTGAGAGTTTGCTGGAGAAGTCATCTATGCATACATTGCGTATTATCTTTAGGTTAGCCAAAATAATTAAATTTCTTCAAAGAAACAAGTTATGTCTGATAGCAAGGAGATCTGAACCAACATTAAACATACATGAAGGACATAGAACTAATCATGTCCAGCGCGGCATCCGTGTTTCGGGAATCTGGGTGAAGCTGCTGCCTGACCTTTGAATGAGCAGCATGGAAGAGATTGTCCTGTGGGATGCTGCACCGCTGTCTCTGCTTGCTGTCTGTCCTTAGTCGGTATTATCAGGATGGCAAACTGCCTGGCATCACACTCACGTAGCGCCATTTTTAAAACGGGAGGTTTCCAGTGTCCATCAGAGGGCATCTGAGCCAGACCCAGTGAGGAAAGCTCAGCAGGATCCAGAAGCAGAGTCCTTCGTAGCTGAGCATTTGCTTCAGTGTGGGCACTGGAGACACGTTCGTTGCTTAAGTATCAGAGAGCTGCTGAGAAGGGTCCAAATCTGAGTCTTGAATTTTTACCCCTGGAATACTAAAATGAATTTGTGATTCTTTCAGCTTCAGCCTCCTTATCTGTAAATCCACAGATAATTTTATTCCAAAGTGTCACAGTTCTGACAGTTTGCACATGAATTTGCCTGGAAGTCTTCTGGTAAACTAGACATACGCTGCGTGGGAACACTACACCAAACAGCTTTTTATGTATGGAATCTAGCTAAATTGGAGTTGTGGTTGGCAGACTACAGACGTGGACAGTAAGATGTTAATGTCAGCCTAGATGCTTCTTCTGCAAAGTATGTTTTCTTTCTCATTTCCAGTTCTCGAAAGTCTACGGCCCCGTGTTCACTCTGTATTTTGGTCCGAAGCCCACTGTGGTGGTACATGGATATGAAGCAGTAAAGGAAGTCTTGGATGACCTCGGAGAGGAATTTTCTGGAAGGGGTAGCTTCGCAATTGTTGAAAGAACGAATAACGGTCTTGGTAAGTGTAATGTGTACATATGTGCATGTCTGTGCACACATACATATGTTGAGCAGGAATCATAAGGATGAGATAGGAAAAGCCCCTTAGGCAGGGAGCCAAGTGGCAGTCAGAGGCGGGTTCCTCCTTCTTGTCTCCTTTCTAGTTTCCATTTCCTGTTCCGGTAGGGCTCATTTTCAGCAATGGAACAAAATGGAAGGAGCTCCGGCGTTTTTCACTTATGACCCTGAGGAATTTTGGGATGGGGAAGAGGAGCATTGAAGATCGAATTCAAGAGGAGGCATGCTGTCTTGTGGAAGAGTTAAGAAAAACAAACGGTGGGTACCTGCTTGCTTGGCTTTCCCCTACGTATCCTTTTCAACCCCGCAACAGTAGCCAGCTACTGCGGACAGTGGTTGCTAGCTCTCACGCTGGTGCCCAAGGACAGACCTTTGCTTATCTGTCCTCAAGTTTGCACACACTGACTGCATCAGTGTGGACATACTCAGGGAATCCCATTCTGCCCCAGCTTGTTTTCAAAGCTGAACCCCATGAAGATAGAAAGTTTTAAGTCTCGTGAAAGATTCATACGGTGTAATGTTTTCCTATAGTGTAACTGTGACGTTTTAAATTTAGATTATTTCCTTGGAGAATATTTGTCAGGTATACATGGCATGAATGAGCTCATCACATTTTCATGGAATATGAGAAAGTGACATGTTTTGTCGTTGAGGCGGTCTATATCTGGTCAGTTTTAGTGACACAGTGATAGAGATCTAGTTAAGACGCATGTCTGCAACTTCTACCAATAGAAGTAGAATCTTTATATTTTTTATTTATATTTTTTTATAAATCGTTATATTTTTATCTTCTTCTGCGTAGGCAGTTTTGAGTACTACTTTTACCAGTTTTGTTTACTCTGTAAACAAAGGGCTATTTAAAAACTATCAGCTGGTTACTTGATGTTAATAACTATTTGCTATGCTAGTTCACATCTCTTGAATAAATATGTACTATGATGAATTCTGCTTCTATATAACATGTACGAAGTTATTTATTTAACTGTATTTCAACTACCTTAGCTTTAGCCTACAGTCCTCTAATTTTAAGTTAGTTTTCATTCTACTTTTTGCTTTGCTTATTAACCACGTTTTAATTTTTTATATTTTACAGTTTTTGATTCACAGATGCCTTCTAGTTCTAGGGAGGAACATCTCTTCCCAGGCTTGGCTATTTCCTAGACATAGAAAGCATGCCTTTGATTTTTTTAAACCATCTTATTTTCCCAAATGTTTCCTTTGCCAAATTTTCAAATACCAGCTCTGTGTTTTTTGTGTCCCAGGTCACCCCACAGCAAGGCGTGGATTCTCTAAGAGCATCCTTCTAGTTCAGATGCCACTGAGGTTACTCTATCAATGAAGCTCACTCAGTGTTTTCACCCTGCTTCATGCCTTCCTCCTGTGCAAGACCTCATGTGGTTTCCTGACTTCTCTATGCCCCTGTCTGCAGGCCAACCCTGATGTTGTCCTTTGACCCTGTGTGCACTGGTTTGCCTCCTCTTGGACTTTGTAACTACCAGTTTTTCCTATGAATCTCATCTGATTTGTTGCCCTGAACATATCTGCAGAAAAAGGGTGCATCTTAAACCGATGGAGTTTTGGGTTGAAACTTCTATGATAATTATTTAACCCTGATGCTAGTTCTACTCTTGAAATTTTGTTTCCCAGCTTGGATTCCAAGTTATCCCGAGTTTTAATTATCTTTCCTAAATGTAATGATAGATTTGAAATCCTGTTAGATTTTATTTGAGGCTTATTTATTTTCAGTTTTATTTTATGTGTATGGGCTTCTTGCCTGCATTCATGTCTGTGTACTGTAAGCACCCATGCTTGCTTACTGAGCCAAGGTCACTTAATATGGCCATGAAGAATTAAATCAGGTGGCTTGGAGGGTCCACAGCACAACTGAGGCTGTGACAGTTTTATTGAGAGCCATCAGACTTTTTATACTTTTATCAGAAACAGAATATGATGGCAATTGCCAGGATCAACACAGTTGTAGTTGCCAGGATACAGTGACATTTGGAAGCGATACAGGCTACACAAGATTAATGTCTAAGACCAATTGTCTTGTCAAGGTTCCATGAATACTAAAGAAACATTTAGAGAAACACAAAGAGTCCTGGATGCTTCACTGCCTCAGGGAGTGTATCAGTCTCTTAGGACCTGGAATGTACATTGTGCTCCAGAAGCCATGAGCTCTAAGTTGATAAACCTCTCAAGACAGCTAGGCCAAGCCCAACTCCATGGCTCTTTGCAGTGTGCCATGCCTTTTGCGGTCAGGAGAATATTGGATCCCCTGAAAGCATATGGTTGTGAACCACAAGCCTCCGGCGTTCTCTTAATAGCTGAGCCATCTCTCCAGCACCAGAAATTAGATTTTTCAGTCTGAAATACACACACAGAAATTTTTTGTCTGTTTTTCAAGTCTCACTCTGCAGCCCTGTCTGTCCTAAAACTCACTCTGTAGACCAGGCTGGCCTCAAACTCATGGAGATCTGCCTGCCTCTGCCTCCAGAATGCTGGGATCAAAGGTGTGTGCCACCACACCTGACAGAAGCGTTAAATTAATAATTTATATTTAAATTATTCCTTATCTTCCAAGACAAAATAAGTATCTTCTTTCTTTCTTTGTTCCTTCCTCCCTTTCTTTCTTCTTTCCTTCCCTTCTTTCAATAAAAATCTAAATATCTTGGTGTCTTACCTGAAAAGGCGTCTGATCTCAGATCTGTCAACTAAAGTTTGAATTTCCTCTCATTCCTTTCCATACTTTTATTCATTACATACATTTATTTCACTTTATTATATCTATGGTGTGAATTTGAGGACTCTGATATGTGAAACTTACTGGCCATTCAATTAAAAATAATTTTTGAAACAGCATCTCACTCTTTCACCCGGTTTGTCCTCAAGCTTGCCACTCTCTCCTTCTGAGGGGCTGGGGCTCCAGCTTTCTACACAGCACTGGCTGAGTCACCACCATTTTATTTAAAAATGCCATTGAAAACTTAACAGTTCTGCTTTTATTTCCTATGATCAAGTTGACTTAAATGATAGTCAAATTAAAAAAAATACACACTTTGTTGATGGCCATCTAGGCAATAATCCAGGATTCCAGTAGAGGGTAAACCCTAAATAAGTTAAACTGATATATCTGGTGACTAGAGACACTGTTTCCAAAAACAAAATTCTACATATTTTCTTTTTCAACATTGAAATGGAGAAATTACTGGACTCCATTTATTAATGTAAACTCTGTGTTTGTTCCATTGGGATTTGCATTTAAAATGACTTTTTAATTTCACTTTTATTTTAGGCAAATAAATCTCTAAGAATTGGTGTTTGTTTTTGTTAGCTTTTTTTTTCATATGGGTATTTCTGCTCTTTTAAATTTGTTTTGATGAAATTATGCATTTCTTGTATTCTTTTTCTTCTTGGTCATTTTTGCTGGCTATTCTGGACATAACTCATGGGGTGTAAAATGTTTTCCAATTGCAATTTTCTTTCTTAATTGTGTAGAAACTTTAAAAAGAGATGAGGCTCTACACTGAAAACTTCAGTTTTTATGTGTTCTTAAAAGTAGTCATGTATTTTCTTAGAACTTAACTTAGAATATATACCGAAAGAGTGATGTTTATGCAGGGAGCAGACTCTAAAAATTTAGCTAGTGATTATTAAGCAAGCTAGGATATAAAAAAAATGATGTGCTATTTGGAAGTGTGTGGAAGTTGCTGCCAATATGATATTTCTGTTGCAATACTTCCTTAGAAATTCTAAAATTATTGGTTTTTTTTTTAGCCCCAAAATGAAGACTTTTGCATATATGCTTTAATGGTATTTTAAATGTTTCTAATGCTTTAGGCTCACTCTGTGATCCCACGTTCATCCTAAGCTGTGCTCCTGCCAATGTGATCTGCTCAGTTATTTTTCACAATCGTTTTGATTACAAAGACAAGAATTTTCTCAACTTGATGGAGAAATTCAATGAAAACTTTAAAATTTTGAACTCCCCATGGATGCAGGTGAGACAAAGATATCTCTTCACAATGATTCATTCACGTTTATTTCTCTAACAGATAAAATTTTTTTATTTTAGTGCAATGTGCTTATTTTCCAGACATTTACCTCAAAGCTTGGTATAAAGAACTTTGTTGGAAAGCAGAATCAGTCTCTCTTACCCTTCTGCTTCTCCTCCCTCCCTCCCTCCCTCCCTCCCTCCCTCCCTCCCTCCCTCCCT